TTTTTTTTTATGTGAGGGGGGGGGGGAAGAGTATAAGTGTATTAGGCTAAACTTTATTTTAAAGGAGAACTAGGGGGTAAGTGTTTTGAGTTTGAGACCCCTGGTGTGGAGGGACTCAAGTGGCCTGCACAGTGCCCTCACCTCAACCTTACGGGACACCACTGGGATGAATTGAAACAGCTAGGTCTCCTCGCTAGTACCTGACCTCACACATACTCTTTTGACTAAATGGGCACAAATTCCTACAAGGCACAATCCAACATTTTTTAGAAATCCTTCCCAGAAGAGTAGAGGCTCCATATTAATGCCCATGGTTTAGAATGGGATGCCCAACAATCTCATATAGGTGTGACGTTAAAGCATGTACAAACTTGGTCATACAGTGTGTATGAATATACAGTATACAATTTATATATATTTTGGTATTTGGGAATGTTTACCCCCAGTTCTCACCTCTACAGCTGATGTAAACTGCAACTCATACATCACAAAAGACACCAGTTCTCCTCCGCTGACCTCTCCCTTTGTTACTAGCCTTCCACCGAAATACAGGATGCCCACTTTTAGAGCCAGACCTGAAAACTTCAAGGAGAAAATAAATACTAATGTCAATTATTACATGTAATGTGCCAAGTGTGGTTGGGCAGAGCTAGTCATCACAGCTGCACAGAGCTCAGTCATCAATTCAAGCCTCCACAAGACAATGCATGGAGTCTCAGATGGAGCATTGTAGAGGATGATCCGAATTAGATAATATAGCAGGCTGGGGGCTCTTATGTACCTGCTCTTTAAATTCAGATAGTCAGGGTGGAGAACAAGTCCACTTTAAGAGCCCGGAGAAGGGTTTATATTACTCATTTTACTCATTACTGCTGCTTCTGACGGAAGCCTGTGTAGACACACTTACTATAAGACTGATTGGCTGTTCTGTTGGTGTTCAGGGAATTATTGGAGTTTAATATATTGGAGAGATATGAATATGAAATGAGAAGTATCCAAAAAAAAGCCAAAATGTATACACAAACTATACTCTCTTGTGGTGTACATACAGAAACAAGCCTTATGCTTTATTTTAAATTCATAGAATACTACATACTGTGTGTATGGTTATCTATCGTCAGGCCCGGATTCCCCACAAGGCCACCGAGGCCCGGCGGCAGGGCGCAGAGGGGCGGCAGCGGTGTCCTTGTGGGGAAGTTGCCCTATCTACATTCAGTCCTGCTTTGTACAAGCAGGACTGAATGTAGAGTGAGGCAGCCGATTTTTCGTTTACATGTGAAATCGGCGATGTCGCCCAGATCACATGTAAACAGTGTGCAGCCGGTCCGGTCGTCCTCCCCTTCCCCCTGCACTTACCTCTCTCCTTTCGTTCCGTCCTCCGCCGCCGAGTCCCCAGTCTCTGACTGCAGTGAGCAGAGCGGCATGGTTATAAGTAACCCTGCCGCTCCGTGTAGACTGTAGACAGTGAGAGGGGAGAGCTGTGCTCTTCCTCTCTCACCTGTCACAGGAGTTCCAGTACAGTGCTGTGCTAGAACTCCTGTATTGGAGGTGACAGGGTCAATAAAGAGAACCTGTCACCTCCAATTGCTATCACACAGGGGATTGTTTTTTCCTGTGTGATAGCAATAAAGTTAGGTGGAAAAAAAATCAAATAAATTAAAATTAAAATTACATTTAAAAAAAGGTGATTAAAAAGTAAAAAATAATAAGAAACAATCATGGAAAGGATGGATATCAAATTCGAAAAGTTAAACTTAGAAATGAAGATAATAATGGGAAAAGGAATGTCAATAAACTTGGTATGACATGACACAGCTAAAATAAGAAGGATATGAAGGGGTTAATCAACTACTGAAATGTAATTAATGTAAATGTAATCCTACAAGACAAGACAAGTAGGAGTTTAGTAAGAGTAGGAGTTTAATGTATATAAGGAGGAGCAAGTATGTTATACAGCAGCTATTCATAAAGTGTCATGACAAAATGCACCAAGCAGTTGTATTCATTTTGAGGGTCCCCGGTTCAAATCCCAGTGAGGTCACTATCTGCAAGGAGTTTGCATGTTCTCCCTGTGCCTGCGTGGGTTTCATGCGGGTACTCCGGTTTCCTCGAACACTCCAAACACATGCTGGTAGGATAATTGGCTTCTGTCTAAATTGGCCCTTGTATGTATGTGAGATAGGGACCTTGATTGTAAGCTCCTTGAGGGCAGGGACTGATGTGAATGTGCAACTATTTAAATTGTCGGCACCATATAAATACCAATAATAAATAAATAATACATTTTGTTATTAAGGAGTTGAAACTTGTAGGTAAGACCACAGAAGAATAAAGTATTTTAAATGCTTTTTTTACACAGTTTTTCCTTTCTATAAGTTATTTTTTTGATTTGCAATGTGTCTTCGAGCTTGCTAGGGAATTGATACTCCAGGAAGAGTCAATTCCCCAGCACAGCCCCCTCTCTCCTTGCACGCCACAGCCATCTCCTCTTTTGGGAGTGTCTAATTACTCTCTATGCTGACCCAGCTCCTACGTCCCTTACCTTCAAGCTTTTATACCTTTGCTCCAAATGATTACTGTAGAGTGTCAATTAAAGGCGCACTTGCCTCTAATAACACAGTAAGATTAATTGACCAATGGTCTTACAACTGAGGGGAAGTGGTTCCAAGTAATTACATCAAAATAATATATGTATATAAGTTTACAAGACACAGAGAATGAAGCTATCACAGAAAAGTCATGCTGTACTCACACTGTGAGCCACAGCAGTGAACGCATAGGCCAGGGACTCCCTCTTGTTCAGCTGGTATGTATGATGAAGCTTTGTCTCGTATCGTAGACATTCGCCCTCCTCATTGGCAAAGCTGCGCACTGTCCTCATATTAGAGAATGTCTCCAGAGCCACCTGATTGACTTTCGAGAGGGATTCCTGGACCTGCTTGGCCAGAACCTAAGGGACAGAGCAACAAATAACAAAAATCTCAGTTCATTCAAAAAGCTTTCAGGAGTCAGCACTGTCATCTTTTTTTATTATATTGGTGTATCCTGAAACAAAAAATACAACAAAGACCCAGGACTGCTGAGCATTTAGAATTCTGTATCAGGCAAGAATAGGACAACATTCCTCTCACAAAACTCCAGCATCTGGTCACCTCATTTACAGAGTATTGGTAAAAGAAGAGGGAATGCTACTCCGTGCTAAACATGACCCTGTCCCAACTTTTCTGAGACATATTGCTGCCATCAATTTCAAAATGTCCTTATTTTTTTTCTTAAAATGGTAAATTCTCTCAGTTTAAACATTTGATATGTTTTCTATTTTCTACTGTGAATAAAATCTGGGTTTATGAGATTTGCAAATCATTGCATTCTGCTTTTGTTTAGATTTTACACAACGTCCCAACTTTTTTGGGAATTGGGGTTGTATTTGCCAGAACCCTTTGTTCATCTGGAGACTAAAGGGTATGTAAAGCTCAACAGTGAACTTTTCCTATTTGGTCTCTTATGGCCTGTTAAATATACCATTCATAGTGTTTTATCAATCACCATGTCTATGATTAATCATGTCTATCATTCCCAGCTACGGGTTGGAGAATAGTACAGAGGGTGTGTCTGCAGTCCTGTCCTTGTGTGACAACCTACATAGATACAGTGGAGTGAATCAGCGTTGTCACCCCACAGGACATGAAGTTTGTGACTGTTAGAATTAACAAGTAAAAAAATAAAGGAAAACACTTGAAAAAGGCAAACTAATGCAGCCATCACATCCAAGCAAAGTTTATTTTCTAATCTCGTAGAGGACTATGTTCAGCTGTCACTTTTATGCCTCTTTTAGCCCAACCAAGAAACATTAACTGCATAGCTACTAATTGCAAAAATGTTGCTATGCATTGTCAGGCCTGATTGGATGTCAATAAACAAGGTCTGACATTTTTGAAATTCAGGAGTGCTGGTGATTTCTTTATTTATTACCAAATTGGGTGACTACCTCCATGAATACAGTGGGTGAGTGAGCGTAGACATCTCAGGAAAGGAGGTGTGTTACTGGCAGAATCACCAGGTGAAAAAAGGCTAAAAAATGAAAACGAATGCAGCCACAACATCTAAGGACTGGTAAGCTGCAATATATTATTTAGTTTTTAGGTTTAAATACACTTTAAATAGAGTCTTTCACTTTTGGGACATGTATTGGAAAAATGACACACACCCTTTTGTAAGTGCTATAAGTAGCCTGCTCGTTAAAGAAACCTTTTTGTCTTCTAAGCTTTGAATCCCTTGAAGATGTATTATACGCTGAGTCTCACCTGATAAAAGGACCCTGATAGTTGCGGCACAAGCGTGATGACCAACAGGCACAGGACAGTGAAGAGTGTAAGCTTCGGAGACAAGCTGAGCATGTAAATAACCAAGAAGATCAGTCTCATCAGGTACCACATCAACAGGCTCAGATTCTCGCTGAGAGATTCGCTCATCGCTGTGATGTCAGAGGTGACGCGTGATGTGATGTCACCTGCCAGCAGAACAATGTGGGTAAGAATACTTTGTCTTTATTTTCAGCAATTATAAACAGAGAAAACAAAATTGTCTCAGATTATTTAAGACAAACAAAATACAATGTTGTCATAGTTAACAGAACAATAGATTCTGACAGCTCAGATTAGGCATATTCAGATTAGGAATTGTGAAATTGGGTTCCATAAGAGGTGGCTTGTAAAACGGAATTCTTGTTGAAGTTACAGTAAGAACTGGTATATCTAAACCACATGTGTTTGAGTATTTTGTACATTCTGAGGACTTATGTACCAAATAGTGAAGACCAGGTATGAATAGACATCTTAGAAAAGAGAATGTGAAGTGTACATATGGCAGAGAAAAAAAAAAAGAGCAGGCAAAAAAGAGGAGGCAAGAAATGGAAGGAGAAGAAAAGAGACAAAAACTGGAAAGAATGAAAAAAAGGTTTGTGTTCCGTAATGTCATATCCTAAACAATGGTCTTCAAGTATAAATATTAGGAAATAATAGGACATGCCATAGCAGCCCTTGTTTAATTGCCTTGTAGGATCCAAGTGTGGTTATCTTCTAATGTGGTGGGAAGACCACTCTAAAGGCTGTAGGACATGCCATAGCAGCCCTTGTTTAATTGCCTTGTAGGACCCAAGTGTGGTTATCTTCCAGTGTGGTGGGGTGACCACTCTAGAGGCTGTAGGACATGCCATAGAAGCCCTTGTTTAATTGCCTTGTAGGATCCAAGTAAGACAACAGCATAAGCTGTGGAGAGTTAGGGACAGCACACTCTACGACCTTGGTGTAAAAAATGTTTTCCACAAAATGAATGTATAAGGGGGCATGTGCACCAGATATGGATCATAGTGCCAACATTTAAAATACATATCCAACATATGGGTGACACTTGTGGATCAAATTTGTGTCTGTCTGCTGGGCACTCGTACCAACAAGTTAGTATTTTGTAATAATTCTCTTGAGAGGACATAATAAATACAACAGTGTGGTTTTTGAAGCATCTATCAAACTATCTGAGCTACTGCGAGTTATTAAAGCTGAGAGGATCAGTGACTCGTCTCTAGGAAAGATTTACATGCTTCCACTTGGCACTGAATTGAATTCATATTTTTTGCATGTAGCGGAGGGCATGAAACAGAAATCAGTGATATGGGCAGAAGGACTAAAACAAGATAAACATCTGTGGAGGGGAAAATTATGATTTGATGATTTTGATGTCATTTCTAAAACCATGCTCACAGGTGGACTTGTGTATGAAATGACTATGAGATCTATATTACCTGTAGACTCAGTATCGAAGAATTCTACTTCCTTCCTCAGGACGGAGCGGAGGACTTTTCCCTGTGTCTGGGTGTGGACCAGGCTCATAGTGACATTGTAGATGCAGTCACAGAAAAATTCTGTCAAGGCGCTACAAAACGAAACACGGAATTAAGGAGGAAGTCCAGTCTAGTTACATATATGAATCAACAATATATCATTGGACTCAAGGCTTCTACTCAGAAAATCTAATGGAACGTGGAGTCCCCAGTACCAAATGACTCATAATAAAATTTAAAAAACTGATGTCCAGGCTCAGCACTTCCTTCCACATAAATATTAAAGTGTCATGTGCAAGAGGCCACCAGGCATTGTTAAATCCCTTATTGGTACATTTTATTAATCCCACAAGGGAGACAAGAACCACAAAAAGTCATGGCATAGACAAACATTTTACATACATATACAATATCACAGTGAATCTTCCCCTAGGAAGTGGTGGCTGCATTCATTTTCTTTTCTGATTTTTTACTTCCTTTATTTTCACCTGGTGATTCTGTGACTAACACATTTCCTGTCCTAGGATGACAACTCTCCCACAGCCTACTGTAACTATAGAGGAGCAGCGTTGTCACCCTACGACAGTGATGGCGAACGTTTTTGGTCCCGAGTGCCCAAACTGCAATGCAAAATCAATTTATTTATCTCAAATTGCTAACACTGAAAATAAGTTTGGCATTATGTTTTAGTTTGGGCACTAGGGTTTAAAAATCGTTCAGCATCACTGCCTTAGGCGAAATAGGAAAACACACATATTCAAACATTTAAACATTTTATATTTTCTTTATTTATTTATTTTTTTAACTTTTTTATCATTTACATTTTAAAATTTGTATTTATTTATTTTACTTAAAAAAAACTTACTTTTAAATTTGTATTTATCTTTTATGTTATTTTTAGAATTTGTATTGATTTAATTTTTTATTCATGCACTTAAAGTATCAGCAAAGTATGGGCACTGATATTTGTTAAAATCGCTGGTATACTTTTCTTGCAATGGGCAATTTCCATACACTTTGACATATTTTGTATGTGTGCCCACCCCTCTCCTGCATCATAATATAATTCTATTTCCCTATGAAAGGCTGATAAGTACTAGAACCGTGCCTATAAACCTTATCAATCTTACGATTTTCAGCACATTGCAGAGTGAAGTCACCCCCAGCAGCCAATCAAATTTCACCTTTTGCTTCTTTAGAGCTATCAGAATGATGAAAGATAGCACCCAAGCAGTCGCTTCATTTAAAAGTCCTGCATGTGTTTAGCAGAATGCGTTGGCTGTTTCAGTGAATGGGTGGGGCTTAGCTATGTCACAAGCCTTATCAGTGTGGGTGGGGCTTATTATAGGGAACACAATTCCCCCTCTTAGGTGCAGCGGGGCAGAGAGTTACTCCTACTCTCACCTGGATAAAGTGATGATGGACATCATTATGATGGCATTCCAGAATATGGAGGGGTCTTCTTTGCTCTGGATCCAGTCGGTCATTTTCCCAGTGTAGGAGGGCAGTGCCATCTCACCTGTTAGGAGCGATAAAAGAATAAACACAATTAGCTGGATATAGATAAACAAATAGATTGTCTGCAAATCTAATGAAACAAAATAGTGTGGGTTGTCCACAGCAGCCAATCACATTACAACTACCTATTTTAAGGATGTTGAAAATGTAACTGTGCCATCAGATTGCAGCCCTCAGAAGTCCAATATTAATTATAGTTTATTTTAAAAGCTGATCTCCATACTAAATACACAGATGAAAGACATATAAGGGAGCTATATTGCCTGCAAAGGATTTGTATTTCTGTTCATACAGTTTTAAGATTTACACAGATCTGTCAAACAGCACAGCCCCATCTGGCAGGGGAGGAGACCTGATTTTTCTCTGCTGCAGGTAGGTTACACCTACAGGTCTTGTCCATCCCCCAAGCCTTTGACTGGACAGTGAAAGGAGAAGCAGCAGACTGATGAGCTCAACTCTCTGTCACTCTACTTTCTCCTGCTATCAGCATGCTCTTGCTGGCACAGTTGGCACAATGAGCTAACTGATTGGCTCATTGTGCTGCATCTATCTCTCCCAGTCTTAGCTCCACTTAACAGGGGATTGCAAATGTATGTACACTACATTTAGAACTATACATGTAATGCTGTATTAATGACCACAGAGTTACATTAATGTGTGTCTTCTATAAGTGGAGTTTTGCTTTAAGGAGAGGCCTTCTACTTACCCCATGATGACAGCACCAAAAACACGGCCACAATCAGGAACCTGCCCACGTAGGGTTTTAGAAGAGCAATTAACTTCCGCAGGGAACCTGAAGAACTTTGTGCTGTATCCTTGCCATTGTCACTGGATGGAAGCAGTTGGTACAAGATGACACCAGAGGTCATCGTGAGAAGGTAAGAGCTGAGCAACAGGTCCCATCTTCCCCAGCTGTACAGGAGCACCGCACTAGTGTGTGGTAATAGAGGGTCAGTGAAGGTCACACAAGATGGTACCAGGAGGCTCAGGACTGCACAGAAGATAAAAAGAGCATCTCCTTGTAAGCACGATGGAAGCTTGGACCGTCGGCTGACCACACGAGTGCCCAGAGTCAGGACTGCAAACCTTGCCAAGCTCATCAACCAGACCAGGAGGAGACCCAAAGGGAGGAAACTGGTCAGAAGCGAATTCAGGAGGCGGATGGTGAGAAGATCCACACCGGCGAGGCAAGACAATGACCACAGCGCATGCATGATGACAGGATCTAATGACCAGAAGGAAAATAAAATGCTTTAAAGAGGAACTTTACCCATATCTTCAAAATAACAACAAACACATGAAATGTTTAGTAATGACAATCTACAAACAAATACTTCCAGATAATTGCCGGCTTTGTATTCTTTTACATACTTTTTTTTTTCCCTTTATTTCCCAGTCTTCTGGCAGTGGCCATTTTAACTAAGGGCAGATTACTAGATTTTATACAGGAAGATTTATTTGCGATGTGTGTACACTTTCGGGTCTATTTATAAATCAGTGAATGTGACTTACACTAAACATTCTCTGATGGATAATCAATCACTGTCATTTAAAACACATGAATCTGGAAGATTCTCCTGCAGGGAATGTTTGCTGAATGTCACATTTACTGCTTTATAAATATGCCCCTATGTGTGTATATGCCCTGTATGGACACCTGACCATCACACCTTCACGTGCGTTTAGGACATCTCATTCAAAAAGCTTGGGCACTAATATAGAGTTGCTCCCCCTTTGTGGATATAACAGCCTCAAATCATATGGGAACGTCTTCTACAAGATCTTGGAGTGTCTGTGGTAATAGATAACCACTTAGCCAAAAGAGCATTTGTGAGCTCAGTTACTCATGTTGGATAAGAAGACCTGGCTCACAATACGTATTCCAATTCTTCCCTAAAGTGTTCAGTAGTCCGGACCACTCAAGTTCCTCCACACTGGACTCATCAAACCATGTCTTTATGGAGCTGGTTTCATGCACAGGGACACAGTCATACTTGAACGGAAAAGGGCCTTCACCAAACTGTTACCACAAGGTTGCAATTTCATAATTGTCTACAATATCTTTGTATACTGTAGCCAGGGCTGCCGTCAGGGGGGTACGGCTGATATCCATGTAAGGGGCCCGACCAGCCTTCAGGGCCCGCCCGGGAACCTTACATGAGTATCGGCCAACGGTGAAGTGCGAGGACCGCAGAGGCTCTTACAGCGTCTGCCGCGGCGTACAGTAAACTTGGTCCTCCAAGCAGCTGGTGTCCAGGGCTGAGAGGGGCCCGAAGCTGGGGCCCAGCATTGGTCCCTTGTTTAGGCCTTGTTCACACCGAAAGCGTGTGCATTCCAGAGCGGTAGCTGCTGGAACGCACCGCGATCGCTAACAAACTTCTCCGCGCGTTTTGCGGCGGGAAGGGGTGTAGCGGTGCATTGATTTCAATGGCACCGCTTCCACCCCCCCCCCGCCGCAGTGCGATCAAACTGGTGGCAAGACTTTGGGGGGTAGGGGGGCGCATTCAGAAACCTGGCCTTGGGGCAGCAGAGAAAGTAAACCCGGCCCTGGCGCTGTCCAAAGAATGCACCACAAATATATTGGCTTTGTATAAAAAAATTTGCAAAACAGTCGAATGAAGCAAGGCAATAAAAGCTATTTAAATGCACAATTTGTAGGCAACGTGAGCATCTCATTACACAAACTTTCTGTGAAGGAAGAATACTGTGACAATGGAACATGGTCGAGGGGCCTTGATGCACCAGCCACCTAACAACAGCATATACATGAAGCAAATGCTAGTCAAGGGAGGGTTATAAAAAGAACCTGGGCCATTCATACATTTACAGGTTGGCTTCAGGACAGGGAGAGTAAGGAGAATATATTCACCTTCCACTTGTCCCTCCGTTGCCCAGTCCTCACGCGGGGGCTGGACAAATACCCGGGACTTCTGACTATGAATGTTTGCCTCTCTCTTCTGCCTTCCCGCAATACAGTGTTAACATCCCTTGAAGAACATAATCTCCAGGACCAATAGAGATGCAAATTCTCTATAGCGAGGACACAGACAGAATACAAATCTCACAATGGTTATAAAGCTTATCTCTGTTGGAAAAAAACTATACTTGCAGTGAGGATACCAATTTGGTGCTCACCTCTCTCCCCTCAAGCTCTCGGACTGTCCTTGGGGGTCCTTGCATATAATGCCAGGCTATGGTCATAATGACGCAAGTGGACCTCCTACAACCAGAGCTGAGGGGGGAAGAGGCTGTGGGTGCCATTCTTGGAGCAAGGAATAGAGGGGACCAGGTAAGTATAAATGCTTCATCTCCAGTCCCTGAAAGTTCATGTAGTATGACTGCAGGCTCCGACCATCTCCTGTAGCATGTATGCAGGCTCTGAACATCTCCTGTAGCATCTATGCAGGCTCTGACCATCTCCTTTAGCATGTATGCAGGCTCTGACCATCTCCTGTAGCATCTATGCAGGCTCTGACCATCTCCTTTAGCATGTATGCAGGCTCTGACCATCTCCTGTAGCATCTATGCAGGCTCTGACCATCTCCTTTAGCATGTATGCAGGCTCTGACCATCTCCTGTAGCATCTATGCAGGCTCTGACCATCTCCTTTAGCATGTATGCAGGCTCTGACCATCTCCTGTAGCATGTATGCAGTCTCAGACAGCGTTTCTTAGCATTGCATTCACTATAAATGGTGTGTGGCCCTTTTGGCAATCTCAGGGGCCACATTTGGGGCCCCCTTATATCAAGTAAGTTAACCACCACCGGGTTATGCTCTGCTCTGCATATTCTGGGCTCTGTCTGTTCCTCTCTGTTTTGTGTCTGTGCAATCTTTAGAACTTACCTATGTATGTCTTCTGGGGGTCTGTTCTGTCTTCTGTCTTCTCCTGTGTCTGTGCTGTCTCTGTCTTCTCCTGTGTCTGTTCTGTCCTCTGTCTTCTCCTGTGTCTGTGCTGTCCTCTGTCTTCTCCTGTGTCTGTTCTGTCTTCTCCTGTGTCTGTTCTGTCTTCTGTCTTCTCCTGTGTCTGTGCTGTCCTCTGTCTTCTCCTGTGTCTGTTCTGTCTTCTCCTGTGTCTGTTCTGTCTTCTGTCTTCTCCTGTGTCTGTGCTGTCCTCTGTCTTCTCCTGTGTCTGTCCTCTGTCTCCTCCTGTCTGTGCTCTCTCCCCTCCCCTCTCTGGGTCGGTTGGCTGTCTCTGTCAGTCCTGGAAGTCCCCGGCTTTCCGGGAATCGGCTTCTGATACAGCAAACAGAAAGTGAAACTATATCAGAGAGAAATCCCGGGGCGTCCTCCTCCCCTCCGTCCTCCATCCTCCTCTCTTCATACACAGCTCATACCGATCACCGATCACAACTGATCACCGGCACTGTGCGGTCACCCCAAGCATCCTTCACCCCCATCGGAGCCGATCTACACCCCTCCTGTACACCCCGAGCCCCGTAGGAGGAACCCGGCACCCCTCACCGGACACCGAGGACGGTGAGTACTCTTCTCCCACAATGAGACATTGTATATTCTTCATATCCTCCTCGGTCTTCATATAGGACCAAACATCCTACAAGAATAACATTCTGCACAATAGATATCCCGGGGGAACTACACGTCTCAGTCGGCCTGGATTTCACAAACCTGTAACCACTCTGAGACATTGTTACATTTATATATTTAATACTATTAATATTTAGGTCTCTTCGATCACTTTTTATGGCCGATCTGTCTGTAATAATCCCAAATCTGTCCATTAGAGGCGCGGGGGTCCACTGAAGTCAGTAACTGCGATATTCTGTTCACTTTGTATTGTGAAGTATTATTTGTCATTTATATGGTGTCAGTTTATGTAATCCCAGTTACTAAGGGCTCAATTACACAGAGGGAATTTATCAAAACTGGAGCAGACAAAATCTGGAGCAGCTCTGCACGGCAACCAATCAGCATCTCTCTTTCATTTTAAAATCTTAACTAAACAAATTGAAGAGAGAAGCTGATTGGTTGCCCTGCACAGCTGCTCCAGATTTTGTCTGCTCCAGTTTTGATAAATTCCCCCCACTGTGCAGATGCTGTAATGTGTTTTCAGTCCACATTCACACCTGTGCTTTCCGTGAATGTGCAGCAAAGCATGCGGTTTTATGCACGCAGTCACAGAAACACAGCAGAACACGAAAGCGCTTGCGTTGCCATTCATTTCGAATGGCACCCCAAACCGTAGATGCGCGTTTTTGCTTTGTTTGTGCACACGTGACCATGGGGAACAAAAGTAGCCCCCCTCCAGAAGGAAGGACAGTGTCAGCACCAATTCAGAGATGATTGGAGGATCTACAGCCGAGTGATACACAAATAAGATACATTGTTGTTAATAGTTAAGGCTCTTGAAAGTATTTTTAAGATTTAACTCCTCAGTTTAGTGTCACTTTAAAGCCTCATTCACACTAGAAAAAGCCGGCACGTACAGCTCTACACAGCCCCTGTCCTTCTCTATGTTAGTATGCGGCCGTAAGCCGCCCTACGCTCACCAACCTTGCACTTCCGTGTGGGTGTCCGTACTCATACTCTGACAGGATGGATCCTGTCTGCGTCCGAGCCGGGACACCTGCACCCGTAAGGACCTGCACTTGGGGTGAGCGCAAGGGGGCGTACGGCCCCGTACTGCCATAGAGAAGGACGGGGGCTGTGTACTAATCGCACGCAGCACCTGTCCTTCCCGGGAGCTGCCCGATACGACCGTGCACGAAGCATGGAGATGTACGTGCCGTCCTTTTGTCGTGTGAATGAGGCCTTAGTGTATTGTATTACATGTGCTGCAGTGTGTTCTAGCAGTTTATAGCACATATAAATACACTGCACGGGAATGCTTCATGTCCTATAATTTTAAGCACAATTTGTCCTATGTGCAGCACACTGAACTCTCACAACCTACAGAAAATTGCCTTGTTCCTGCATTGTGACAGTGCAACCCAATGCTGCTGGTGTGAATGAGTGCTAGAATCTCATATAAGCTATAAAATGTTCATGTCATTTCAAAAGTAATTTAAAATATTTTGAGATCAGAAGCTTTTAATAAAATAAATACCATGTGGTCCTGCCAAAAAGGTCCTTGTTCAGGAATTTGCAGTTATGTAGTGAGAACACTCTGTCTCCACCTAGTGGTGTATTTTGGTTTTGTGCTGCCCTTAGCAAGCCTAAACTCGGGCACCCCCCAACCTAAATTTGTTCCTGTCTTCCTGTTTAATACATTTTGAGTAACCTGTCAGTCAACATGCTGTACACAGGTTCTGACAGGTTGCGCTATTACTGTAGCGGGGAAACTGGACTCTCTGTTGGGCCGTGCAAGGTCTCAGGTGGGCTGTGCAAGGTCTCAGGTGGGCTGTGCAAGGTCTCAAGTTGGCTGTGCAAGGTCTCAGGTGGGCGGTGCAAGGTCTCAGGTGGGCGGTGCGGGGTCTCAGGAGGGCTCTGCGGGGTTTTAGGAGGGTTCTGCAGGGTCTCAAGTGCTGTGGGGGGGCCTATGGTTGGCTGTGCGGGCTCTCAAGTGGTGGGCTCTCACGTGGGCTGTGTGGAGTCTATGGTGGGCTGTGCGGGCTCTCAGGTGGTGAGCTCTCAGGTGGGCTGTGTGGGCTCTTAGGTGGGCTGTGCAGGGTCTATGGTAGGCTATGCGGGCTCTCAGGTGCTCGGCTGTGTGGGCTCTTAGGTGGGCGGTGCAGGTTCTATTGTAGGCTGTGCAGGCTCTCAGGTGGTGGGCTGTGTGGGGTATATGGTGGGCTGTGTGGGCTCTCAGGTGGTGGGCTGTGTGGGCTCTTAGGTGAGCTGTGCAGGGTTTATAATAGGCTGTGCAGGCTCTCGGGTGGTGGGCTGTGCGGGCTCTCAGGTGGTGGGCTGTGTGGGCTCTTGGGTGGGCTGTGCAGGGTCCCTTTCCCTGCACACATGTGCTGCTTTTCTTACCTGCAGCCCGAAGTGTCATCAGTACCAGCAGGACACATTGCAGCCCCCGAGCCCACCATTTCCAGGACATCCCGCTGTCAGATTGCACGCTATGGCCAGCCCTCAGCCGCCTGCTGCTTCTCCTCCACATCCTGTACAAAGCCGGCTGGGCCGCATTTCACTGGGCCCCCCTTATCCAGCGGGCAGCTCTCTAATTAGGCAGCTGCTCGTGGGACCTTGCTGCTGCCTGATTCTTTGCGGCCCAGCCGGCCTGGCTCGTCTCAGTCCCCCAGGCAAGTGCCCGGTATGCCTCATGGCCAGTCCAGCCCTGTCCGCCTCACTGGTTTGGGGGAGTTTTATTTGCCGCCCCCCTGGAAAGTGACCACCCAAGGCAAGTGGCAAGTTTTCATTGCAGTAAATATGTCTTTGTCTCCACCTCCCAGTTGTGCCCCTGTGTTACACGGTGGCCGTTTGAACACACATCACACAGATATGGTCCACTGCTGTCACCATCAGCATATATGTCCTGAGAAATGTCATAACTGGAGTGCATGTAGACAGGAAGTGGCTGCAAAAAAAGGTGGCAGGAGATCAGCAGCACTGAGAGGCAACAAAGAATGTATAAAAGGTGAAAACAGTATTTTATTAAACAATATAAAGGCAACTGTTTCAATAGACATCACATTAGCATGCGAGATGTCTAGAGCTGCAGCTAACGATTATTTTCAAAATCGATTAGTTAGCCGATTATTACGTTCGATTAATCGGTTAATCGGATAAACAATAAAATACATTTTTTTAAAAATGGCTCCAGTGATGGACTACTAGTTTGAGATTGTAGTCCATCACAGGAGCAAGCTTGGAGCGGTGGAAGTAAAAAAATAGTGTGGTGTGCAATATAGTGAAAAGGAAAGTGTAAAATTATACAGCAATGAATGCAGAATGGCACCGACTATAGAGGACTACAAAGCCCATCAATAGTACATTATACAGAGCAATGCAGAATATCACCAGCTATATAGGAATACAACAAATCCCAGCAATAGTACATTATAGCTGGCGGTATTCTGCATTGCGCTGTATAATGTACTGTTGCTGAGTTTTGTAGTCCTCTATAGCTGGTGGTATTCGGCATTGCACCACTGTATAATGTATTATTGCTGGGCTTTGTAGTCCTCTATAGTCGGTGCCATTTTGCATTCATTGCTGTATAATTTGACACTTTCCTTTTCACTATATTGCACACCACATCATTTTGGTTTTACATTTGCTTTTTAAAAACTATTTCTGAGGTGTTTGGATTCCGCAGCGTCTCTGATGTGTCACTTTGTTCATGTATTGAGTGTTCTGAAATAATATGTTTGGTTTTGTTGTTCTGGAGAGGAATCTTCATGCTGTTGTACTGACCTTTGAGGGCTCAAAATATTTCCCTTTGTATAAATAACAAATAACAAGCCAACAATTGTGATACATAAATAATAAACACGTCTTTCATTGTTATTATTATTATCACTGTGTTTCTAAATACATATAAATATAAAACGTATCCAGTATTACAGAACTGAAAGTAGATAAACCCAACTACTAAACCTCATGTCAGCTTCAACGGTAAATGTCATTTCTAAAGTTATTTTTAACCTTATAAAATGCGCAGCTTTAAAGTGGAACTCCAGGATTTTTAAAAGTTAACCCTTGCAGTGGGGCTCTTTAGGGGACCAAATAAGAAAGAAATACTTACCATTCCTTGATCCTGCCGGGCTTCTAGGCTTCTATACCGGTCCATGCAGCCTGTTCTTCCCTAGGCCCCGGCGGTTTATACGTCTTTACGTCTAATAAAGTGTATTAGACATGAGGATGCTGAAGGACATACCACACCCGGAGCGGAGGGGAGAGAGGTGATCGGTCACTGCAGGATGGAGGATCAGGTGTGTATTTCTTCTTTATTTGGTCCCCTGGAGAAAAATGAGCAGTTAACCCTTGCAGTACAGGGGTAACCTCACTGCAATGATTAAAGGAGAACTATGAGGTGAGTGATTTACATTCATCCTCATAGTTAGAGCCGACCTGTGACAATGAAACTGTCACACGTCGGATCTATAGATTGGGAAGTGAGCGAACACATACTGACAGTCACCGCTCCCCGCGGGGATTCCCCCCCCCCTCTCCACTCCGATCCTCCAGCGCTGACTGGCTGAATGGACGGGGAGGGGGAGGGCACAGCTGGCTCTCCTCTAGATAGGCAGAGCCCGCTGTCAATCAGCCAGCTGGGTGGATCTCCACAGTATTGTCCGTATACGTGTCGGCAGCCGCGCTCTCAGGATTCCATATAACTCTGAGGATTCCATATAACTCTGAGGATTCCATATAACTCTGAGGATTTCATATAACTTTGAGGTTTTCATATCTGCCGTTAAACTAAAAACACGCAAAACAACATAGTTGGTTTAAGTGTTTGAGATAAAATGCACGTAGTACACACTGAGGCCTCCTTCACTCATTTGCACTTGGTAGCTCACATGCTGCAGCAACGCATGGTACTGCAGCATGCACAAATCTGTGTTGTGGTGTCAGTCATTCTGAATGGCACCCCAATGCACAAGGACAACAGACTTGCATTGCAGTGCAGTGCAGTGGAACACATGGTAGTATATTACCGAGCGTTGTTGTGTTCTGTGTTAGAGAAAAAGGGTCAGGTAGGGCTTCTGTTGGGTGTATTGGCAGCCCATTCACAATGTACGGGCTGCAGTAACACAACACACGTTACCCTGCGGCATAGTGCCCATTGATGTGCCTGTGGTAACACACTGCAAAGTTGGCCTAACACTAGTCCTCCTATAGCCATCTACGCAACCAACAAGTGGTTAACGGTGTGTCTTTGCCTACATTTTTCCCAAAGCTTAGAGTTATGCCTGTGGTAACATATACTGGGGGGAATTTATCAAAACTGGAGCAGATTTGCACAGCAACCAATCAGCTTCTCGGTCTCATTTTCAAATCTTACCTGAGCAAACTGAAGAGAGATGCTGACTGGTTGACATGGGCAACTGCTCCAGATTTTGTCTGCTCCAGTTTTGATGAATTCCCTTCACTGTGTTTTTCCTTAGACTTCTATAAATTATAGACAATGTAATCCTACAACATACCATAACCGTGGTGTCACGCCAGGATATTGGTGGCTGGCTTTCTCAGAGAATTAATCCGCTTCCCCCTCACTCTTTATGTTTTATGTATAGCTTCTGACAGATTCTGCTACACAATTATTAATTCAGTTACGCTGTGACGGATGCTGGACGTTTTCCAGCTTCAAACTTCAATGCCACTTTCAGTTTCTGCCAAACCCGGCCATTTTATGAACTCGCCGAGGAACACACCTCAAAATGGCTGATGGTACGAAATGCTCACCAGGAAGACGTGTAAACAAAAAAAAAACAAAAACAGTTTATACCTAACACGTTAAAATGAACAAAAAAAAATGAACACACAAAACCTTGCTGGAGATAATGAAAGGGAAACCAATATAATTTCTGTAGATTTAATACCAAAGTGCTAAATACATACTGCAATTTAAGATTTAAGCTGGCTTCCAGGCTGATATCAAAGACGCAAATTAATGTTTTAAAATGCAAGCAGTTTAAGTGCATTTATTCCATATAACTCTGAGGATTTCATATAACTTTGAGGTTTTCATATCTGCCGTTAAACTAAAAACACGCAAAACAACATAGTTGGTTTAAGTGTTTGAGATAAAATGCACGTAGTACACACTGAGGCCTCCTTCACTCATTTGCACTTGGTAGCTCACATGCTGCAGCAACGCATGGTACTGCAGCATGCACAAATCTGTGTTGTGGTGTCAGTCATTCTGAATGGCACCCCAATGCACAAGGACAACAGACTTGCATTGCAGTGCAGTGCAGTGGAACACATGGTAGTATATTACCGAGCGTTGTTGTGTTCTGTGTTAGAGAAAAAGGGTCAGGTAGGGCTTCTGTTGGGTGTATTGGCAGCCCATTCACAATGTACGGGCTGCAGTAACACAACACACGTTACCCTGCGGCATAGTGCCCATTGATGTGCCTGTGGTAACACACTGCAAAGTTGGCCTAACACTAGTCCTCCTATAGCCATCTACGCAACCAACAAGTGGTTAACGGTGTGTCTTTGCCTACATTTTTCCCAAAGCTTAGAGTTATGCCTGTGGTAACATATACTGGGGGGAATTTATCAAAACTGGAGCAGATTTGCACAGCAACCAATCAGCTTCTCGGTCTCATTTTCAAATCTTACCTGAGCAAACTGAAGAGAGATGCTGACTGGTTGACATGGGCAACTGCTCCAGATTTTGTCTGCTCCAGTTTTGATGAATTCCCTTCACTGTGTTTTTCCTTAGACTTCTATAAATTATAGACAATGTAATCCTACAACATACCATAACCGTGGTGTCACGCCAGGATATTGGTGGCTGGCTTTCTCAGAGAATTAATCCGCTTCCCCCTCACTCTTTATGTTTTATGTATAGCTTCTGACAGATTCTGCTACACAATTATTAATTCAGTTACGCTGTGACGGATGCTGGACGTTTTCCAGCTTCAAACTTCAATGCCACTTTCAGTTTCTGCCAAACCCGGCCATTTTATGAACTCGCCGAGGAACACACCTCAAAATGGCTGATGGTACGAAATGCTCACCAGGAAGACGTGTAAACAAAAAAAAAACAAAAACAGTTTATACCTAACACGTTAAAATGAACAAAAAAAAATGAACACACAAAACCTTGCTGGAGATAATGAAAGGGAAACCAATATAATTTCTGTAGATTTAATACCAAAGTGCTAAATACATACTGCAATTTAAGATTTAAGCTGGCTTCCAGGCTGATATCAAAGACGCAAATTAATGTTTTAAAATGCAAGCAGTTTAAGTGCATTTGTACAGCAGAGCTCAGACTGGGGAGGAAAAGCAGCACTGGGAGCCAGTCGGGTGTGCTGTAGTGCAAGGAACATGATGATAGGAGGAGAGAGCAGGATGACTGAGGCATTAACTCATCAATTTGCTGTGTCTGCTTTCACTGTCCATTCCAAGGGTGGGGGTGGGGAGTAGGACTGTAAGTGTCACTAAACTGCTACAGAGACAAATCAGGTCTTCTGCCCTGCAAAGAGGGCTCTATAATGTTACAGAGCTGTGTAAATCACAGAATAGGATGAACAGAAAGCTCCCTTATATGAATTTCACTGGTGTATTTAGCTGTTTACCTAGAGTTTAGTTTTAATGAATAGAATCTTACAAGGATAGTGAGACCTTCTGATAATGACCATTACAAGTAGGTGTTGCTGTTACCTCTAAGGTAAACTTTAAGGTACAGTGATCTAACCAACAGAGCCCCTGGGATACATGATATATATTAATGGGTGGGACTTCTGAGCTGAGCCCTACCTCATGGGACTTAGCCCCACCTACCAGGTACCCCCTGTCCTGTAATAACATGTTTATTTACCACTGAGGCTGCCTGTACATTTTATTACACTGTGACTAAACTAGTCTGTTCACTTGGTCTCTATGCACAGATTGACGAATCTCTATTTTGTGTTTCAGGTCTTTGGAAGCCTTTGCACAATGATCTCCTTCTCTTTTCCTCTCATTATCTTCTTGCTGGACTCCTCTCTAAGTTATGTCTTGTCCTCCCTGGTGTATAAATATTATCCTATATATTTTCTGGAGACGGTGTGGCTAGTGCACCTTATTAAAGTCCCCCTTCTTAGAGCCGTGTCCCAGAAACTTCCCTGTCCATGGTGGATCCCATCCACTCTTCTCTACGTCCTGACACTATGCCTAGCTCCTGCTCTGCACCAGACCCTCCGATTGCTTCTCTTCTCCCAGGCTCCGGAGCTACACTCAGGCCTGGCCAACTCTCTGCTGTATCACCTGCCCTTGTCTCTGTCCTGTCTGCTCTGGGATCTGCTGTCCCCTCTCTTATTTCCAGAAGAGGATCCTGAGGAGGATAGCAATGGAAAGAAGAAGGAAAGGGAAAACTTCATCAGGCTTGTAATGCTCTCCAAAGCAGACTGGCCTTTCCTGTCCTTCGCTTTTATGTTCCTGGCGCTTGCACTGTTACGTAAGTTCCAACAACTCTGTAGAAGGTATTGGGGTAAAAATGGATGTTCTTGGGGGTCCATTGGCTGCGCATATCAGTCGCAAGTCCCCAGCCAGAATTTAGTTAGTCTTCTGCCCAATCTGCCACAAGAGATACATGTATAGGAAGCACTCTGCTCATGTCAACATTCAGCTTATCATTTTAGTTCCACATGAAACCAACACCGCATCAAATTCTGCTCCTTCTCTGGCACGTTTCACCCTATCACAGTACTTAAGCATAGCCTATGATGGGGTGTTTGTGTTACCTGACGTGAGCAGATTGCGGCTTATTATTGTATGTGTCTATGAAAACGTATTGAACTCGCAGTGAATGTACATGGAAATGAAAATCTCGTAAATGATGAGGTTAGTAGAATACAATGAGAGGATTGTGACCATGTAAATGTCTAGGGCTGTGGATAAATTCTGATTCTTTAAAGATAATCTGCCTAACATTCTTGTGGCACACCGGCCCCCCTCCATACTCACCTCTAATCACTGATACTCACCTATGCTCTCCCACCACTCTGTTCATTTCCCATCGTCCTTGTCTAAGCTATGTGTTGGTTTGTGTTAGAGCTTTTACAGGGTTTATGACTTTCTCTGCGTCCCCATGTAACTGTGTACCTGTAAAATAGACAACACAGCTCAACCCTGACGTGAGTAGTGAATCCACAACTAGATAACTCTCATTATGGAAACAAGGCAGGCAGGTTCCTTAACATTAGGAGGCCCTAGTACAAGCTCCCCTTGTCTCGTTCTGCATTGGCTACGGCACCCAACCTTATTCTCCCTCTCCTAGTGCAATCTGAAAAACTTTAGAGGTAAGTCTTAAGGGTGGTCAAAGGCAACACAGGCTGGGTCAGGTCTACACCAGACACAGTGCGTTCCGGCCCGATTCTGGTTGGAACGCACTGCATCACATTGCGACCGGCTCACTATGTTGTGGGGCAGGAGGGGGCGTGTCGGTCCATTGAAGTGAATGGCAGCGTAACCAAGCCCTTCGGCCGCAATGTGATTGGCTGCACGGGAACGCAAGGCACATCAATGCCTGCGGTCTGGTCCGAACAAAATGCTGCAAGCACTATTTTTGCAGATCACATGGACCGGAACGCAGGCACTAATGTGCCTGCGTTCCGGGTGTGGGCAGGAGGTGTGGCTGCGGTGCTATTGACTTCAATGCACTGCCACGCCCCCTCCCACCCCTGACACAGGGAGCCGGCCTGTTTTGCATTCCAGTGCATTCGAGATGCTGAACGCTCTGGAACGCAGACTTTGTGGTGTGAACTGGCCCTGAACGAGGCCTGAAAACTGTCAGTGTTTGTCATCCTAAGCTGTTGGGTTGAGACACATTGGTGGGAGAGACCCAGCATAACGCAGCAAATCTAAATAAAAATAGTGTCATATATGTGCTGGAAACACCAAAGTCTGCAAACTCGTATCCCCCTTCTTCTCCCCAGTTGAATTGTCTATTCCATATTACATGGGACGTGTGATTGACATCTTGTCCAGCTACTACAAGGAGACCGAGTTCCTGAGTGCCATTTTTTTCATGTCCTTCTTTTCTGTCACAAGGTTAGTATGCTGTGTATATTTAGTTGTAATGTTACATTAAATTGTATCTAAACCTCAAAAAAAAATTTTACATCTATTTCCAGCCCTTGATGTGGTGGCTTTTTCAGGCTCCCCCCCCGCCCCTTATTTTTATTTGGCAGCTTTGAGAATGCCACATTTCCTGTCCGTTTGTTTCTATACTCATTTCTCCATTGTATCTATGGAGGGAGCTGTGGTTGTCACTCAGGCTGGATTTCAACATTACATTTTTGTTTTTAGGGTTAGATACACTCTAACATGTTATACAGTATACTGTGAGAAATAGCTTCAAATGGTAGCACTTTAAGGATGTAGTCCACTCGCAAACATGTTCTTTTTAAGAGCTACCTGCCCACTTTTATTTAAAAGTTCACACAATTTGTCCCTCACAGGGTTTCTCCAACATAACACAACTTCAGCTTTGTCATTTCAGCAAAATAACGTTTTTTCACAGTCACACCGACTTCGGGTTATCACTTTAAACCTCCCCACATAGACTGCGATGGTTGTAAAGTAATTTAAAAAAATGTACGATCTGCACATCTTGGACAGGCAGATCGTACTTGCGATGACCGCAATGCTGAACGGGCAGTGTGCGCGTACACATACCGGCCCGTTCGGCATTTGTCTCCCAAGCATCATTCAAACCAGCCGAAAAAGTTTTCTAGCATGCTCCTAAGACAAAAGACATGCGACCGTACAGTAGAAACGGTCGCACGCCTTCATTCACACTGCACGATTCTCGTACGATCGCGGGATTTCCCGAGAATCGTGCAGTGTATGGGCACCTCTAGCCAGCACCCTTTCCATAAGGGCTGTGCACAGATCAGCTTGTAACAGGTTACAGAGCAGGGAAAGCCTCCCCACTGTGTAACCTGTCATGGATGAAGCGCTGCCTATTAATTACGGGCAGCGCTGCATCCGGCTATTGACAGGTAGTCAAAAAACCTTCACACTAGCTTGGGGACAAGTTGTGGGGGGGGGCTTCGTTCGGCGGTGGGCGTGGCTTTGTCCTACGGGGGTGGGGCTTCGGCCGACGGGGGGCGGGGGAATGCCTCACCCGGAATATGAGGTACTGCACATCACTGGAATGTTCATTTCTCAAATCTGCAGGAGCCAGAGCATTGCACCCAAGATCCACTGATCGTGGTTGCAATGCTTTACTTGCTCCAAAGCAAAAAAATAATAAATGCAAATGTTTTCTTTTAAGTAGATGTGGTTCCCCTAGCAACAATAGATAAATGTATAACTATTACTACAGTTCACAACACACAGCTCATTTCTTCCCTAAGA